GTTGAATAGGAAGACTGGTTCAAAACTAAAATGCAGCTAAAAACAGCTAGTAATAAGATCAAGAATGTACTAACAGAATACCCAGCTCCTGATGTCTGCTCCCCAAGTAAACAGGAATAATAGAAATTGTTTCCTTCTGGCTGCTGAGTACAAGCTTTGGAATTTCTTTTGTTGGACCACGGGAAGTTCATTCAGGCTGTTCTGGTGGCTGATTCTTTGATAGACGCAGAAGTGAATCTATTTTCAAGAGGACTTTTATGGGTCAAAATTGCATCTTACAAATCTTCTTGGCCAAATCCAACACTGCATACGTGATAAAAATATGTGCTAAAAATATGTGCAACAATTTCTCTTTCAAACTAAGGCCATAAGTTTAAACTTAGAAAAGAATAAATTCAGGAGTCCTCCCCCCAATCTTTGTTGGACTGTTCCAGACTTGTCTGCATTCTTTAGAAATGTCAACAGGTTTCCAAGGATACAAGACCATTGAAAATACACTCAGAAACTCGAGACAGGGTGGCCTGAACTAAGTCTTAGGCCCGATTTAGACTAGAAACGCTTAAGGGGTTTTGGCCAGGGAAACGTTTCTGAACGGTTAACCGTTCCCGGTCTAAAGAGGAAAAAACGGTTTGTTATGGGTTTTCGCGGACCGTTTCCGAAAACCACCTCCATCGTGGTTTTCGACCGTTTCAGAACCCTTCAGCGGGGGGCCCGAAACGCTTTTTGCTAGGTCTAAAGACAAAGGGTTTCTTGAAACGGTAAACCAGGTCACATGTCATATGCTAATCACATGCTAATAAGCCCGCGCACGTCCATTATCTGGTAGATTCGCGCCATATTTGATTGTGTCCATTTTCGCCATTTTATATCGTGTATTTCTCGAATTTTTGTTATCCTTTACGTCTGGAGGGATGGCAGAAGGCCAGGGGAGGGTCTGGACCCAAGATGAGACCCGCTTCTTGATCATCTTGTGGGCCAATCAAACTATACAATCCCGCTTGGAGACCTCGCGTAATAGGGAGGGCATACAGATGCTTGTGGACGGGCTGGCGGCTGAGGGGTATTTATGCACCCCAAAGCAGGTTCGGGCGAAGTTCAAGGCCCTGAAACACAAGTATCGTAAGGCCAATGAGGCAAACCGTAGAAGTGGTTCGGGGAGGTCATCATAGGTCACTGTGGGTCAGAAACATCCTGCGCCACGGGCGGCCCGAAACGCTTCCGCCTCTGTGTCTAAAGACGAACCGTTTTCTGTGGCGAAACGTTTCGTACCGTTTCGAAACGGTATACCGTTTCTAGTCTAAATCGGGCCTTAGCTTCCTAAAATCTTAAATCTTAATGGGTTGTGAATACTA